AAGGAAGGAAAGGTAAACAAATGCAAGCATGCTATTCAGAATACTTTATGTTGAAAATGACCTCTGTAACTGTGGGCAGGGATGGGAGGGAAAAATTGGGGGGAAAGCAAAGGAAGGAATGATGTTGTCCAAAAAAGAAATGTACTTATTACCTGGTTTATGAAATGGTAACTCCTCTGTACAACCCCTTCATAATAATAAAATTATATTTTTTAGACAAAGAATTGTGCACTGCTACATAGATTGTGGTGTATATTCTCCAAGATACATTTGCAGAGTAGCAAGACTTGATCTGTAGGCAAAATAACCCTAAGTAACACTAGAAGAGACCCATTAAACACTGACTCATTCCCACAGACACTGGAATGAAGAACCCTCACTGATACTCTTTATCTTTGTTAAAGACCTTAGAGTAGGGTTTCTCAATCTCAGCAGGACTGATATTCTAAGCCAGATCACTGTTGGCTGTGGAGGACTGTGTACATTACTGGATCTTTAATTGCATCCCTGGCCTCTACAAATAGATACTCGTAGCATTTCTCAGGTGTGTCAACCAAAAATGTCTCCAGAGATTTTTTACAAGTCCTTGGAGAACAACATTGCCCTTGGTCAAGAACAACTGCCCTAAACAAACAATTATCCTCAAAGGCCCAATACTAACTGTGATTCACCTATGAACACTAGCCAACTCATTTATCTACCATCTTCAAATGGGAAAAGTACCTTTTCCATCTTGAAAAAATTACAAGTGTTTGGCAACTTGCACTGAGAACACAGATGAAAAGAATGGCTGCCAAGGTCAGAAAAGCTGCCACACAATTGCCTGGTTTGAATACCCCCTGGAAGCATCACAAGCCTCATCAGTAGATGAACACACTCATGCATGAGTTTCCCTAAGACACAGGTAGAAATATTAGAGGCCATGACATGTCACATAAGCACAAACCACCCAAATTAAACAAGGACAAAACTCAGGAAACAGCCCAAGTTCCTTGGACTCAATGGAAGCTGTTATGAGTGGGCTCCCGGTTATCTTCACACTCATTTGTGGTAGTATCCACACAAGTGGTTTTCATCCCTATCAGACACAGTGCTTTAAAAACAAACAAACAAAAAAACATAAAAACCACAAATGTTTTCTAATGTCCTTCAAAGATTGTAACACTGTATCTATAGACACAAATGATTAAATTTCAATATAAAGTCCTAGTTTCATGTAAAAGAAAACAGACAAGATTTTATAACAAAACACACAATTTCAGACAAGACTACTATAATGAAGTATCTTCTCCGAACCCAAAGCTCACATTTCCAAATTGATCTAGGGCAGAACAATTCCACCCCTTCTGTCTATCCAAACCCTCTCCTTATTAGTCACAATAGTCAGCAACTTCTGACCCCCTACTAGGAATGGAATCCAAAGGCTGTGTCACAAAGTAGATGGGGGAAGGGATCTGAAGTCAGACCACTTCAAGTAGATGGGGGAAGGGATCTGAAGTCACACCACTTCAAGATAACCGCTCCACTTAACTGCAACGGTAGTCACGAAAGTCACTATAAACCTAGTTTTCCATCTATTAATAGAGGATGCCAACATACTTTTCGAGAGTTCGTTATTTGTTTGGGGATTTATTTTTATTTATTTATTTATTTTTGCCAGTCCTTGGGCTTGAACTCAGGGTCTGGGCACTGTCCCTGAGCTTCTTTTGCTCAAGGCTAGAGCTCTACTATTTGAGCCACAACACTACTTCTGGCTTTTTCTGTTTATGTAGTACTGAGGAATCCAAACCAGGACTTCATGCATGCTAAGCAAGCCCTCTACCACTAACCCACCTTCCCAGCCCCAGAGCTTTTACAAAAGTTAAATGAGAGGGCTGGGATGGTGGCTCAGTGGTAGAGGGCTTGCCTTGCATGTACAAGGCCCTGGGTTTGATTCCTCAGCAGCACATAAGCAGAAAAAAGCCAGAAGTGGCGCTGTGGCTTAAGTGGTAGGGTGCTAGCCTTGAACTGAAGAACTAGGGACAGCGAGCACCCAGGCCCAGAGTTCAGGCCCACAACCAGGAAAAAAAAAAAAAAAGATAAGTGAGAATGTAGAGAAGCTACTGATGCACTTACAGTGCATATACTTGATAAATTTTACCTATAGAAGTTGTATTATTATTCTTGAATCCCGTTTCCTAACTTTTGCTCATCTTATTCTAATAGAAAGGATGGGTGACTGAATATCTATTTATCAGAGACAGTTTTTCATTCATTTATGACCTTTCATCCCAGTTGGAGAGCCAATCTGCCTTATATGTCATAAAGAGTAGATAACCTGGAGCTCAGATTATGGTAGTTTCATGTACAACTGATACCCAGCCATGGTCACTGTCTCTACATAATTTAGGCCCATACAGCCCATTAGCCAAGAAAAGATGACAACTCTTCCAGTAAAAGTACTACATGCAACCTGTATGTTGTCTCAGAAAATGACTGTTGAAGGCCGCTCATATCTAGGTGAATTAATTCCTTAGAGCAACAAACACCACCCCTAAACATCCTAGTGAGAAAGTTGACAAAGTATAGCAACAGCTAGAGACATATTTTAAAATAAACTTATTCCAAATAAGTATTCTGAATAAATATAATCATAGCCATACTTAAAGTAAGTTCATGGGTCCCCAAAGAAATAAGCACAACTCTGTACGTGGAGAAATATCCTACCTATAAATAGAAATGGAAGCTGTAATTTACATAAACACCAATCTATAAGAAGAAAACTAGAAACTGCCAATTGTTACAAGCCATCCTACGTTAACCCTCCAAGATGTTAACAGCTTCTGCTGAGATTACTAAGGGACTGCTGAGGGTTGAGCAATGGAGGGATGGGAGGACTTGATTCCTTTGCTTATTTATAGTTTCCAATGTTTCTAACAGTGCTCTTATAAATAAAAATTTTTATTATCTACTGAAAATTTCATGAGATTTGGGGCAAGAATTTATTTTAGGTGAACTCTTCCTTAGACTCTGAAGGATAAACCAAGTATCCCTATCTCTTACACATGGCCTAAGATTACTCTTGCTCCTCTCCTTAAACCAGAAAGGCTCACAACTTAGCTGCTTTCTTCTTCTTCTTTTTTGGTCAGTTGTGGGCCTGGGTGCTATGCCTGAGCTTTTCAGCTCAAGGTGAGCACTCTACCACTTCAGCCACAGAGCCACTTCCTTAACTAACTTCCTTCTTCTTCATCCTCCTGCAGACCTCACAGGTTTGCCACTATAAGAAGGCAGCATGAGGTACAAGAAAATCTCACCACTAGTTTTGGCTAATTTCTGAGGGACAGACAACACTGTGTAGTGAGATATTGTTCCTAAATCACTGACACTGCATAAGGGCAAATCCACCTCAGAGGAGTGACTTACTAAATAAAAACTAAACCCAGAAATTTTTTATGTTGCTATTTGAAACCTATAGGCTCCCCTATATTTTCACACCAAAAGCTTATGTGGAATAATATGTGTGCCAAGAATAAAAAACCATTCTGACAGGCATCCATTTGGATAGTTAGCTAGGGGGGAAAATACACCATGATGTCAAGAGCCAACTGGGCAGTGGCTCAGGCTTGTAATCCTAACCGCCCAGGAGGTGAATAGGGAAGATGTCAACTTGAGACCTGTCTGGGCAAAAAGTTCATGAGAACCTTCCTCACCCAATTAAAAAAAAAAAAAAAAAAAGGTAGGCCAGTCACAAGAGGCTTACCCCCTGTCATACTAAGGTACTTAGAGGTGGAGGAAGATAGTGTATCTAGGGCAGCCATGGCAGTAAAGCTTCTCAACAAAGAGAAAGTGGGCACAGTAGTACACAGCTATTATCCCAACTTTGGAGTGGGGAGAAAAAAATAGGATTGTCAAAGTTCTAGCACATGCCAGAGCAGAAAGACCCTATCTTGATTTTTTTTTAAATTAAATTTTTTAAAAGGCTGGAGGCATGGCTCATGAAGTCCTGAGTTCAAACCTCAGAACTGTCAAAGATGAAGAAGAGGAGAGAAAAATTGACCTCCACCGAAGTAGGGAGCAACAGAACTTAAACTCAGACTATCTGAAGCCTTTATTAAAAAGGTCCTATATTCAGAGCACTACAAAAAGATACACTATTTGTCTTCCAAAGAATCCTGACTGTAGTCTAAAAACTAGTGTACTCAAAACTAATACATGGCAGACCCTGATAAAAAGTAATACTAGTTTAAAACTGTTCTAATAGTATAAGAGAGGAGAGTCACCTGCAATAATCTTTTTTTTTTTTTTTGTCGGTCGTGGGGCTTGAACTCTGGGCCTGGGCGCTGTCCCTCAGCTCTTCAGCTCAAGGCAAGCGCTCTACCACTTGAGCTACAGCGCCACTTCCGGTTTTCTGGTGGTTTATTGGAGATAAGAGTCTCACGGTCTCTCTTGCCCATGCTGGCTTTGAACCGCGATCCTCAGATCTCAGCCTCCTGAGTAGCTAGGATTACAGGCGTGAGCCACCAGCGCCCGGCTTGCAATAATCTTGAGAGAAAAAAAAAGGTTTAAGAATTATTTGTATGGGGGGGGAGGGGTAGAGAGATCCTGGGGCTTGAACTCAACACCTGCACTCTGTCCCTGAGCTTTTTTGCTCAAGGCTATCATTCTACTACTTGAGCCACAGCTCTACTTCCAGCTTCTTAGGGGCTGATTAGAGATAAGAGTCTTCCAGACTTTCCTGGCTACGCTGTGATCCTCAGATTTCAGCCTCTTGAGTAGCTAGGATTACAAGCTTGAGACATTGATGCCAGGCTTTGATTCCAGAATTTTTAAGTTCTACCCATAATGGATTCCTATACTTAATCCAGCCATTTATTCATCCTGGTCTTCATCCCCAAGTAAAAGGTGGCAGAAATGCTCAGCCACCAAAAGCAAACCTCATAAGGTAAAACTCACCATCAGAGCCTTTGGGCTAAAAAATACAAGTTAAGGAACAAGGGCCTTCTTAAGAGGCTGGGACTCACCAACATCACAAGGTCTGTGGCTGGCATCTTCCTCTCCCGAAGTCCCAGCCCTGAGCCCCTCCTTCAGCAGTGCCTGTAAAAGGGGAACAGGTCTGTTTACTTGTAGAGCTTTATGGAGTCTCCCCAGCCCGCCTCGATTTCCAAAGCAGCCAAGTCCAGGTTCTCTCTCCCTCCTGGAAGATCCACACTCCACCCACCCAAAATGAGAAATCCAGAGTCCTGCTGCTACTGGCAGCCAGAGGATACTAACCCGGACCCAGACTCCCACAAAGCCCGAACCTGGGTCCCCCCCAGGCCGGGCATCTCACACCGAGGGCGAAGGGAAAGGGTCCCCAGAGTCCAGCCGAGCACCTGCGTGCCTAGCGCCCCAGCGCACCCCACTTCACCCCGCCACGAGCGCGGGGCTCCCGGGGAGCTCGGTGCACCACGGCCTCCCACCGCCCACACCCGGAGCTCCAGCCCACCAGGCCTCGACCACCCAGCCGCCTCACCCAGCCGGCCCGGCCCGGCCCTCCCCGCCAGAGCCCGCGGCCGCACCTCCACCTCCTCGGGGCAGCCGCCGCCGGCCAGCTCCTCCCTCCCAGAAAACTCACCTCCCGCGTTGCTTCCCCTAGCGCCACTGACCCCGACTGCCTAGCGCAGGCTCCGCCCACCGCCGCTGAGATTGAAGGCGGGACCCGAGGCCCCGCCCCGTCCTCCCGGAAATGGCCCCAGAACCACCTCCCTCCTGGCGTGCATTGGCCCCCCCCCACCGCAGAGGACGTCACGACGCCGGCGGCAGACACGCCCTTTCTCCCTCCACCCCCGCAGAACGTGTGCGCCGCCTACTGGCGAGCTCGGAGCTTTGTGTTCCACCTGGGAAGGTCTCTGGTGGCTTGAGAAGGGCCCTCTGCCTGTCCCTGAGGGTTACCTGCTTCTTCTCCAGCCTACCCTTGTTGAAAGCTGACTTTCTGGATGCAGTGGATGACTCTGAGCCCCTAGAGAGTTTTCCCACAGAAAAACTGACCCCACCAAGCTACTGGACCTAGGGTGTCCAGAAGAGGCCTGTGAGAGTTTCATGGGTCTCTTCCCTGGGTTAGAGACCTGACTTGTCCCCAAGGTTGATGGAACCTGAAGAAAACTACATGCACAGTTGTTCAATGGAAATAACATCCCCGAACTTGTCTCCCAAAAGAAAAGAATGACTATGGGTTCTTATTTTCAGGAGCGATATTGGGAATCAACTAATATTTAAGTCAAAAGGGTCCATCAGGGTCACAAAGGTCACCATCCATTTCCAGCTAAAAAGCAAAACTCCACTCTCAACTAGGTTACCACTGATTGAGGTTGTTAGGATACTTATTTAGGTGAAACAGAAGGCAGTATCTTTGCATCCATGACTTGCTTACAGTATGCTTTTTTCATAGATTACAAGAAGTCTAGATGCACTCTCAGTATCTAAATAGGAATTAGGTACCAACGAGTTACCCAGTTCCATATCCACTTGTGAAATATTGCTAGGACGCCCAAATAAGAGCCTTATCATCACTACCATCATGTTTTTCTGGTGCTTTTAGGATGAAATTCCTTGTTATCAACACCTGCCCTCCTTTGCATTGTTTCCCAGACAAGTGAGTGCCAAAGAAAAAAGGCCCCCAAGAAAATCAGCCAGGGTATCATTGGCCTTCCTCGTCCTTATTTTACCAGAAATTACAGATATCTATACCCTCCAGATCCCCCTGAATTCAACACTAACACCCCATATGCTTTCCTTCTCAATCAGTAAACAAACAGCAATGTCCAGGGGCCTCCTACCAATGCCTGCTCATCAGGAAATACATAACAACATCCCTCCCTTTTCACCTCCCATCCCCTCCCACGTTTTATTTCTTCTTCTGATTACAGGAAACCCCTCCCAGTCTCCTTAGCTTCCACTTCCTATTGTTTGATCTAGAATTTATGTACCCAGACTGGCAGAATGAGAACTGATTCCTTTCTGACACCAGCAGCCAACCTAATTCTTCCAGAAGCACAAACTGTAGCAATCATTGATTGGTCATGACTCCCTTAGGTAGATTTAGGTATACACACTTCATACCAGTAAATCTGGCTCTGATTAAAATGGACATTGCCCATGACCAAGTTAATGAAGCCCCACACTTCACACATAGGCACAAACTCCCACTCTAAAAAGTGGGTATGCCCTTCCCATGCCTCCACTCCTGTCCTTGACATCCTTTGCTATGCTGGAGTCCTTCTTTGGTGGCTCACCTCAGGTCTGGATGGCAGGTAGATCTGAGGAGGTTTGAAGCCTGAGTACTGTACTAGAAACAGTTGGCCCACAAGAGAATCCCTCGCAGGAAACCAATGAACAGTTCACAGAATACCAGAGCAGCTGCAGGAAACCAGCAAACTGCTCCAGCTCCAGTCTGGGTGGATCACAACAGAACTGTCCATCAATGGGGAAAGAGGCATAGGGAATATCCACAGCAGAAAGCAAATGCCCAGAAATTGCCACCCAGCAAGGAGTACCAAGACCCGAGTCTCTGTGATCTGATGGCTTGAGTGAGATCCTTGGCCTTCCCAGATACATGTCCCAGGTGCCAATTTCCCAAGTCACTGTGATCAGCCCTCAGAAAACTATAAAGTCTTCCCAAGGAAATACTTCCCAAAGAGACTCTCATCTTGGACTATTCAGCCAACCCGGAAAAACATCAAAAACAGAGGATGACTTTACCAAAAATCAAACCAACACAAGCTTCCTTTGGCAGAAGGAAACCAGCAGGAACCGCAGAACAGCTTTGAAGGCAAGTAGACAGTCTCTACTCAAACACCATTGTCTTTGACTCATTTTCATCCAGATGTAATGCTTGTTTGGGTGGTACTGGGGATTGAACTCAAGCACTCTGTCACTTAAGCCACACCTCCAGCCCCAGATTTTCACTTTTTTGCATGTTGAAATAATTAAAATGACTTGAATATAAAGCTGGCACTCAGATTAAACCATGTGTTGCAGCCTGCAGGACATCTTGGACAGCTTGGCTTTTAGGTTTCATTCACAGCCCTCTGTCCAGCTCTTCCTTTACCAATATACAAGGTTTTTCCCCCCTCCACTGCCAACCAACCCAGCAGGTAGGAGGGGGTGGGTGATGCCTTCAGAGATTCATGATTCTTTAAGATCAAAGGGGAAACATGACATTTCAACCATATCCAAGCTGTGCATCCTGTGAGGTTAACAGCTAAACGAAGTCAAATAGGGCAGTGTTTGTGGAATGCACAGAAGGTAACAGCCTCATACTCCTGATTCCTAGTGCTTGGTTGCTTCTTCTGTTCTTTTGTTTTCTTTTGAAGGTAGTTAATTTTCCTCATTTCTATCATCTTCAATTTCAACTTACTGGATTTTGCAAGCCAAAGGCAAGGCGATTTTTGAGTTTGTTTTTGTGCTAGGAGAGGGGCTTGAACTCAAGGCCCAGGCTGATGCACTACCACTTGAGACACATCTCCATTTCCCACTTTTTGTGGGTTAATTAGAAATAAGAGTCTATTGGATTTGTCCACCGGGGCTGGCTTCAAAACTGGACTATCAGATCTCAGCATCCTGAGTAGCTAGGATTACAGGCAGAGCCACTGACAACTGGCAGCAAGTTATTCTAACTGCATGAGTTGGCCTTCTGGTTGCAAAATGGGGGTTAATAATATTTCTCTTATTACTATTGTGACAACTGTACCCACGTTTATGTACATGTTTGACCTGCCCCACAACTGGGCATGTTCAAACAAAGCCCCAGTCAGAACTTTGTGATGTTAAGACCAATGTAGCTTGACACATTGGTCAAGACCTAATTCTAACACATTGAATTGTCCTTCTAGGAAACCCTACCTCTCTAGGACTCCCCAGTCTTTCCTGAAAGCCACCAGATTTCTGTATGTCTGCTGATCTTATTGCTTATAGATTCTGAGTCGCAAACCCACCAGACCCAACACCCTTGTTTATAACAGCTTGGTGTTTGGGGAAGGGGGTTGTTTTACTTTTGTTTTGGTGATAGTTGAGGTTGAAATCAGGACTTCATGATTGTTAGGCTGGCGCTCTAGTGCTGAGCCATGCCCCCAGCCCTGTTTTGTGGTGATTATTTTTAGGATCAAGTATACTTTCTGCTCAGCTAGCCACAGTCGCTGGAATCACAGATGCACATTACCACATCCAGCTTTTCTCAGTGGACATAAAGTGCTTACCTGGAACCAAGATCCTCCCAATCTCAGCTTCCCAAGTACCTAGGGTTGCAGGTATCAGCCCTGAAACCAAATTATTGGATAGAGGAGAAATTTTCTTTTTTTTTCTTCTTTCTTTTTTTTTTTGGGGGGGGGGGGAGGGGTCCAGTCATGGGGTCTGAACTCTGGGCCTGGGCGCTGTCCCTCAGCTCTTCAGCTCAAGGCTAGCACTCTACTACTTGAGCCACAGCACCACTTCCAGCTTTTTTTTCCTGCTTATGTGGTGCTGAGGATTTGAACCCAGGGCCCCATGCATGCAAGGTGAGCACTCTACCACTGAGCCACCTTCCCAGCCCGAGAAATTTTCTTTCCATCTTCCAGGAGTTCAATAATTTGTCTAAAAATATGTGAACTGACAGTAGACAGATTAATGGAAGAGAATCATATGGATTTATTCTCTGCCTATGCTTGGAAGCCCCACAAAAGATGAGACTTGAAGACAGAGTTGAAGCTTATATAGCATCCTGAGCTACAGAAAGGACTAGGAGCTAAAGGTTCTGGCAGGGTGAAAGGGCAGCAGGTATGAGAAGGAAAGGAATGATTGGTAAATATCTTGTTATGGAGAAAAAAAAGCAAGCTGCAGAATTTCCTCAAAAGGAAAGTGCTAACTGTCATGAAGTCTGCTAGGACCACACACCTCTCCTGCAACATAGATAATCTTCCCTGGTTGACCAGATTGCTGGCTGAAGAGAGCGATACAGGACAACTAAGTTCCTTGTTGGATGGTCTATCTTTAAAAGAATTCTAAAGAGCCTTTCCCTATGCCTCAGAGCAGAAAGAGGGGCAAGAGACTGGAGAGAAGTTCAGAGAAACCTTAGTTCTTTATCTCAGAGCCCACACTCAGCATGCCAAAGCAACAAGGACTCAATTAGAATTGTCCCATAACTATGCACCATCACCGTGAGTGGCAGAGCTACAGGTGCAGATCTGTCAAGGAGCTTGGCTTGACTGAGAGTAGGCACAGAAACCTGAAATAAGCCAGGACCCTCCTCCCCACTTTACAGGGTATATCCCAGCGATAAGGAAAACCAGCCACTATAAAAACCAGCTTGACCAGAACAAGATTGAACTTTAGCTTCTATAATCATGCTTGCTTTCTGCATCATTTCCTGCATACCCTATAATTTCTGAGAAACTGTCACATATCTGCAATTTTCTGAAATTGTAACTTTGGGGGGAAGACTGAAACACACAGCAACCAAAATTTCTGTGTTTTACTCCTAAACCTATATCTTCCCTTTGCAAAACAAGTTATTCTGGGAAACTTGACCCCCATGTACATCCCTCTCCAGACCTAAACCTGCTTACAAATACTCTGTAAGCCCTGTACTCAGGGCTCAGACTTTGTGGCTAGCCTAATAAACCTGAATTATTTCCACTTCTCCTGGTGTTTTTCTTGGT